AGCACAATGCACCCGTTGTCAATGATTTCTTTTTCAGCCTAAAGCCAGCAATCTGTTGGTGATGTCCCCTGTCAAGCCCCAGCTAAGCAATTTGTGCACAGCAACACACTAAATCTTTCCCACAATTTTTACTTCACCTTGAAGTTTCCAGCAGCCTTACACTTACTAGTATCGGTGTATAGCTGGTCTAGCACAAATTAATAGATCATAAACTACAGCTAATTGCAGGATGGGCATCGTAATGTTCTAGATATGGGCTGTAAAAGAAGTAGGAACAAATCAAACCGGTTGCATCTTTCCCTCAAACCAACGAATAAGAACAAATCTAGTTTAGGGGTCGTTGCAAACGTTTTTTGTTGTCCCTGAGACAAGCATCATTCGTTGGAGGGGTGGAGGGGGGGGGCAAAAATCGCAAGTCGACCAACACTACAGTCAATTCCTCGGAAACTGTCTCGCTGGCTTTTGAAAGCTCGATCTGGGCTGAATTGAGGATCAAAAACCCACTTTAAATCTCAAAAATCTCATTCTGGGTTTGGGATTTGCTTCTCCACATATTTTGCCGTGGCATACCGGTGCAAATTTTATAAACCTGGCTGAATGTCTACTATGTGAGGGAGACACCAAAAAGGTAGGGTGGCAGTTTCCAATAAATCGGGAAAAAATCACAAGTCGACCGATACTTTACATATGTACATGACTACATATACATGCATGCAATTTTCATCATCCAGCATAGCAAGCTGTGTTTGTTTCATAGGGAGTGGAGGGTGTGCGAGTAAGAAATGAGCGATGTTCATTTCAGGGACGATAAAACACTTTTGCGACGATCCCTTAGAAATGTATATGACGTAGATGACATACATCATAACATGAAATACATCTACTGCAAGTAAATTGAAATTACTCTATCTGCAGAGTATGTACATACCAGACCATACGCATTGAGGATCTTGCGATATCGACGGATTTGTGCGGTGTTGATGCTATCTTCATCGTCATCATACTCTACGTTGCTAGCAGCACAAAGCTGTCGAGAGAACTCCCGACTTGTTGAGAATGGCTCTCGGATGTTGTCATGCAGTTGTGCCAGTACTTCCTCTGCCTGCCCGAGCACTTTGGGTTGCTTGGGAGATTTCTGAACATGAACATCAACACAGTGGGTTAATTAATTTTAACCCTAGAACAGCCAATGGTGTCATTTGACACCGCGCGAGTCAAACTTATGGAATTACCGAAATATGGCTAATCAGAATAAGCTCAAATCTTGTTACTATTCCTAATTTTGCTTCCTCTTTCGTCTGCCATAAACCTTTGATTTGTAATTGATGAGGTACCATAATGGCGAGTACGTGTACATATACCTAGAACGGCCAACCAGTGTCATTTGACACCTGCACTATAAAAAGCCATTATTGCAGTTAGATGGAAACAATATGAACACATTTCGAAGGTGTCGGCCATATCGAGTTGCTTGTATGCCAACCAGACAAAAGAAAGGTACATGTGCAGGAAAATTGCTGAATACAGGACAAAATATATGATCAACATCCAACCGTCGGGCGAGAATCGTGAATTTGTGGCGGGTAACCATTAGTGCACAGATTAAACAAACACTCCTCAGCTAATGTCCTTGATACTGCTCATTCCCTTTCATTTTCCTGTAAATTGCCCCAGAGGAGCCATCGCGGTCTGACGGCCAAGGAAATACTAGAACGGATGTAGCCTATTACCATGCATGAATCTGATGATCATGAAAGATAAATTTCCTACTTTATCTTCATTTTATTGCTGTTCAAGTGTAGTAACCATTGGCAATGGTGAATCTGGTCTGTCATTGAGGGTGAATCGTACGGTCACAACACCTGAGTACCTGTGGATTCAGAATGTATTGAGGTTTACGAGCCTCCAGAGAGCGGACGAAGATTATGGGATAGTCCAGACAAGGAATTGTCAGAAACAGTTGCAGGAGTTGTGGAGACCCCGAAATGGATAGTGTTGAGGAAGAGGAATTGCAACTCTGCAACCTGGAGATGGTACACCGCATCATCGCAAGGATGGTGCTGTGTAGATAATCCTTCTAACAACTTGACGAGCTAATAAGGCTCTTGAACCAAACCTCTTCCTCACCCTCTTCAGGCTAAACGGTAGGCAGCCGCTGGGATGCCTTCTCTCTCTTTAGAGGCCCTGGCTGCTGCAGAAGGTGATTGCTAAGTAAGAACTAATAACTTCATCATCAGTGCATTACTGGTCTAGAAACTGTTGGAGAAGAAAGAGTTGCAGTATGAACCACTTTGGTAAATTGAAGTGAACTACCATGTTACCTCATTGCCAATAATAGCGGATTGAATTTTGTTTTTCAAGATAACATTGTAGGATGCAAAGACGGTAGACGTAGAAGGTAGAAGTAGCAAGAATTATCAATGGTCCGCCTAGTGTAGACCACCTAGAGCCATATGTTTTACATGGTGAGAGTAGGAAGCCCCACATCGTCCAATTCTAGCAAAAGACGAGATATGTCCTTGACCGTTTCGATCGAATGTAGTGGATCTACTCAACAAAGACTATTCCAGAAGATGTCCCCCTGCAAGGCGGTGACATAAATGAATAGATGTGACAGGCATCAATGCCTTCACAACATCCCAGAACTTTGCTAGTTCATGCACATCCAGAAAACGCTCATTCCTGCACTGGTCAATAAGCTTGTAGATAGTCATGGCATCTGGTTTCCAAGTGCCAGGCAAGGAGAAGAGAAGGGTATACCTCTTTGAAAGAGTCTAAAATGCAGTCGTTACTAGCCTAATATTGAAACCATGTCTGCCAGCATATGTGTCAGCTTGGTGAAAAAAAGATGCTCATAGTCAGTTGATGTTTGTACTTGTTACTGTGTGTCATTCATCGTGACGGTCGAGTAATCCGATTATGCCAAAGCACATATTCCCGAAAAGCAGTTCCCCATGTGCCCAGTGACGTTGACACATTGCTTGTTATTGTAGCAGACCGAACAAGGTTGTTTTCAACTCTCATGGGAAATTTTTACCTTCCCTTTTCTTACATTAATCGGACAATTATGGAATTGCTTTCCACCCAAAATTACCGCTATAGATTCTGTTTCAGAATTTCGGACACAATTTTGCGCTCATTATAAACAGCATATATTTGCCTGCACAAGTCGTTATAAATTATTGATCATTCTCACTGTTAGGAGATCATCCAACAATTTCTCACCGCTCAAAACATCCTCTACATAGGCAGCTGTACTATGTCCACTTGTCACTGTGCGCTGTTCTTCCTGTTATTGCTGCTCGCTGACAACAGGTACTTCCACGTCTGGCGGAGTGTGACTGTCAAGTGTCAGTCCGCTCCGAAAGTAAAAGTTCAACTGGAACAACAGCGACTTCATCACTCCCACTGTTTCCTGTTGGAGCGGCAGCAGGAGTTGCGCCGCCAGAGCAACGCTTTACAAAAAATCCAGGCTCTGCTGGCTAGAGCTTGGCCTTTGGGGATGTCGCTGAGACATCGAAGAAAAGTCCTCGAGTCAACCAAAACACGATTCAAACGAGGATGATCGCCCGAGCCCTCGGCATTCGAATCGTGTTTTGGTTGACTCGAGACTTTTCTTCGATGTTTGTCCGTATACTCTACGTTGAAGATGCGTCGAGTGCGTCCCAGCAGGGATCACACTGTACAGTGTACAGTGTACACAGTCAGGTCACCCTCCGTGTTTCTTTAGCCGTGCATGCTCACTGTAGTCTGTAGACCATTAGTAGACAGTACTCTGGATTGTAGTCTGTACAATCAACACTAGTCACCAGCTCGAGCACCGCTTTTGGACGATCGTTTCAGGCCGCGCGCGCCCCGAGCCTAGCCTAGCTAGCCCTGGCGCCCTGCCTTTTATTTTTCGAAACCAATGTAGAAACTTTGGAGGGGGGGGGGGGGGGGGCGCGCCCCCCCCCCCCCCCGCCCCCCCCCCTCCCCTAAACCCGCCACTGCTTTTTGGAGGCTTAAAAGCCTGTCAGAATAAAAGTCGGTACTGCGGCTACCCTATGGAGGGGATAGATCACTGAAATGTTTGTCTATTGCCGACAAAAGAGACCATGAACAGAAGACAATAAACACAACGAAGTTTTGTGTAGTCATCATCATCATCCTCTGCGTTGTCGAAAAAATAATAATAGTGAAATAAAAATAAAAATAATAAACGACACTATGCAGCTGTGTAAGCAGTAGATGCACAGTGTGACTGCCAGGCATCTCTGTCAGATGCCAATTGGCAATTCTCATGCAGAGACAAACCAGTCCACGAAACGATATTGTCAGCAAAGGAAATCTTCGGACGACCACGCTTTTCTTACCATCCACGACAACAAACATCACGTCACGTACAAGGTCGCAGGCAGATGGGCGGCATGTGTGTCCGAAATAGGTCAGTTTGCGTATCTTGACCCTGGCTAGCAGCTGTCTCTGTACTCCCAACTCCACCAGGAAACTTTCATTTGTGCGCTTCTCCATCCAGGATACTCTGAGCAGACGTCGGTAGCACCACATTTCTGCTGCCTGTATTCGTCGTTCATCTGTCTTCCGGAGAGTCCAACTCTCAGCTCCATACAGCAGGACAGACCACACAAGGGCATGCATTATTCGGATTTTCGGTTGTCTGGAGATGTTGTGGTCTTTCCAGATGTCAACTAACTGCAGCATCCGCTCTTTCGCCATAGCAATTCTTGACCGAATATCGAGGCTGCAATCACCGTTTGTTGTCTTCCAGGATCCCAGATACTTGAAACTGCTCACCTCTGCAATTCGTTCTCCATCGACCACAAGTGGCGTTGAAGCAGTATCGTTTGCACCAGCAGTACAGGTTCCGATATGCATGATCTTGGTTATGGACAGGTTCAGTGCCAGGTTCTTCTCTCCTCCAGCGTTATTAACAGCATTGCTGAGGGTAGACACTTCTGATGGATGTGCACACAATCCCGTGTCATCTGCATATCGTAGGTTCGACAGCAGGCGTCATCCGATGCTCACACCGATACTGTCCACATCAGCAACACGCATAACACTCTCAGTATACAGGCTAAATAGATGTGGGGACAAAATACAGCTCTGCCCAACACCCTTCTTGATGGCGAACTCTAGCGAATGCGAGCCATTCCATCTGATAACTCCGCTCATCCCCGTGTAAAGATTCTGGAGCAAACAAACTATAATGGCGAAGGAAACCAAAATCCAAAAGGCAATCGAAAAGATGTAAGTGGTTAACTGTGTCAAAGGCTTTACGATAATCGATAAATAAAATGGATATAGGATTCTGCCATTCAAGAGATTTTTCGATAATGATTTGTAGAACACAGAGCATATCTACAGTACTGCGACCAGCTCGAAAACCAGCCTGCTCATCTGGTAACTCAGCCTCTATCTTCTCTTTCATACGATTCAAGATAATTGTCAGAAGGATCTTGCTTGCATGTGACATCAGAACAATGGTCCGATAGTTGGAACACTCCTTACCTGATCCAGCTTTGGGTAGCACGACGATTTCTTGACGTTTCCACGCTTTTGGCAATCTCCCTGTTTTCCAAATCTCCAAAAAAAGTTTATGTAGGAATAGACCACAAACTGAGGATGCATGCTGAATCAGTTCCGCCACGATCCCATCAAGTCCAGGGGCTTTCCTCTTCTTCAAGGACAATATGGCTCGCTCAGCCAAGAGAGGCACAGGCTCAGGGGTAATCAGTGGCGATGGAAGCTCCTCCGCACCATTCTCCGCCGAGGCCGAACACCCTTGATCTCCTGACAGCTGGCCAAATAGCTGCTGCCCATATTCACACCACCGCAGCAATACATCTTCCTTCTCCGTCAGGGTCGTGCCATCAGCAGCATTGATACATGCTTGATTTGGCCGGAATGATGATTTTTAATGGATTTAATGGTGTTGAATCATGGTTCCTCCCAGAAGATTCAATGTGTTTACATTTATCCTCTAACCACTTTCTCCTGTCACAGCGAATCCTTCGACGCACTTCTAGTTTCAGATTCTTGTATTCTTGGTCCTTACCAGTGCATCTGGCTATACGCTTTCTTTCTACCAGAGCTATCACCTTCTCACTGATGCAGGGCTTGGGAGGCTTTTTCCTTTCTCTGCGCCCAACTACTTCCTCCGCAATCTCCATAACTCCCGCTTGAATCTGATCCCACAACTCATCTGGTGTGTATTCCTGGTCCTGCAGCAAGCTGAAACGATTTTCAGTCGCCACTGAATACTTTTCCGAGACGTCAGGATTCCGCAGTCTCGCCACGTCGAACGGTCGCACAGCCATAGACTTGCAGCGAACCTTACGGAAATGCTTGGTGCGTCACTTCAATGTAACTAGATGGTGACCAGTGTCACATTCAGCACCAGGGCGAGCTCTGGAATCCAGCACACTTGAGAACCACGACTTGCTGATCATGACATAGTCGATTAGATTACGGGTGCAACCATCAGGAGATATCCATGTGTAGCGACTGCGCAGATTGTGCTGAAAAGCTGTGTTACAAACGACCAAGCCATTAATCCTACAGAACTCTGCCAGCATGTCCCCACGTTCATTGCGCTGTCCAAGGCCATAGTCCCAAACACCGCTTTCAAAGTCTCTCCCAAGTCCCAACTTGGCGTTGAAATCGCCCATGACTACACATACCTGACGACTCTTCATGGCGTCAATGACAGCTTGCAATTTTTCATAGAAATCATCTATTTCCTCTGCCGAGCATGACGAGGTCGGCGCGTACACTTGAATGATGGTAATAGGGACAGGAGTTGCCTGTATGCGCACCACCAAGAGACGATTTGATACTGGAGTATATGATAATAAGCTGTTCTTCACCGCTGTGCTCAGAACGACAGCCACTCCGCCATATCCACCGTCCGGCGAGCTGCTTGAAATTACCAACTTGTCACCACTGGCGAAATGGTCTTCTCCGCTCCAACGCGTTTCACACAGACTAAGAACATCCAGCTTGAGTCGTTCCATTTCCTTCAGCAAAAGATCTAGCTTGCCCAGCTCTCGCAGAGTTCGAACATTCCATGTCCCAAACTGATACGCTCATGAGTTTTCCGTCCCTTTTTTTGTTGGTTTCCTCCAACTCCTTTGCTGACCGTTTCGTGGAGCGGCTCTCTCAAAACTTTCTTCATGAAACAAAACAAACACCGCTCGCACTGCTCGCCCACTACTCCACAGTCTTCGGCAAGAATAAAACAAGCACAGAAGGTCGCCATTACTTTCTGTGCTATCCATGTGCACCAAGAGAGCGGAGCACCAAAAAGTGCAACCGCTCTCCACCAGTGCACATCTTTGTGTAATGGAGGAAGTGTATTATCCTCATGAAGGGAAGAACTTCCATAAAGGTATGGTGAAATAGAATGTTGTTGCAACTGCGAGTTTCCCACATGTGAGATGATCAAACAAAAGGCATCATGCCATGAACAATAGATGAACAATAAAACACCACAGTAAGAACAACTACGCAAGCGCAGCACATTTTTCCACAAGCATCCGCCATTTTTTCTTGTCTAGAGCCAGTTCAAAACAGTCAGAAATATCAATAGCGGCGTGCTTTGGATCATTTTTAATATTGTCAATCCATCTGAGATGGGGTCGGCCACGTGGGCGCTTGGTGTACCGGGTATTAATTGCCATCTCCAGTGCTTGGTAGGACGCTGAGTTATGTCCATCGCGAACAACATGGCCCAGCCAGAGCAGCCGACGTCTGCGACAGGTAGTGCTGACTGGGTCTTGTCGCGTTGAGGAGTACACCGTAGCAATTGACATGTGGTGAGGGTACACAACACCAAGCAGGTACCGCAATTTTCTTCGGTGACACGCATCCAGCCGATTACTGAGTTGCTGTGTCAGGGCCCACAGTCCGCAGTTATACAACAGGATAGGCAGAATGAGGGCAGAGAACATACAAAGTCTGGAGCTCAGTTTATGACGCTTCCATGAAATCGAACCGAACGCTCTATTTGCAGCACCTATTCTTGCCTGAATATCCTCTGCGGACCCTAACAAAGAGTCAAGCAGCTTGACAGATCGCCAAGAGGAGTCGGCTTTAGTTACTGTAATATATTGTGTTTTCTGCATATTTAACATTAGGTAATTTGAATTTTTCACTTGATTTCTCCACCATCTCCTCGACTTCTCGCCTCTCCGTATCATGGATTGTTGTGTCGTCTGAATATTGGGTGGTTGGTGCTGGAAAAGATAAGTGCGATAGCTTAGGATCAAGGTGGCGCATGGCACCCTCAGCATACACATTGTATATGATGGGAGAGAGCGGATCCCTTGCACTACTCCGATATTTGTAGCAAATGCTTTGCCTAAATGAGAACACTCTCACCGTCGTGTCCGAGATCAGAGTGGCAACGACATCAGTGGCAGCTCCAGAGTCTGAAAACTGCGCCAGCGCCTTCTCACGGACAATGGTATCAAATGCACCGCTGAAGTCTAATAGTGCGGCAGAGTATTTCCAGTCATCGAGTAGTGCACGTTTGCACATGACACGGGTATAACAACTTCTTGAGCATATCAAGACCAATGCAATGCCACAAGAGCATCCTGCACCCGAGTATAATGTGCTTGAAGAAGGAGATTCTTCAGATGCCAAAATCTCTCCGCAGGACAAGAAGATCAAGATTCTGTGGGATTTCGCCATCCGGTGCGATCGCTTCACTAAGCACCGACGGCCTGATATTGTTCTGGTGGATGGATCTGCCAAGAAGGCCCTGATCATTGACATTGCTGTACCTGGTGATCCACGCGTTGCTGAAAAGGAAGTTGAGAAACGTGCCAAGTATCAGCTTCTTGCTTGCGAAATCCATCGCCTATGGCAAGTTGAGACTCAGATTGTTCCTGTAGTAGTTGGGGCTTTGGGCATGTTTCCAAACAGTTGCCAGGATACCTTGACACCATCGGTATCACCAGCTTCTGCTCTGCTCTGTATCTGAATGACAAAATAATGCTCTCCTTGGCTCGGCAGCTATCCTGTGTAAGGTCCTTGCTTTGTAATGCTCTGGGGTGGGTGGCGGAGTTCTTTCGGTCCTATTTTCCTCCAAACTCTCTCATGTTTCCTATGATCGATATTTAGAAAAGGGTTGTGTGTTTCTCTTTGTTGTTTACCTACCATCATTTAATATCTATATGATGCACGGCCCCACCTTTGGCTGCTGGATTCTAGCTCGATGGGTGCCTATCTCTAGCCTTCGGCCGAGTGATCATGGATAATTGGATAATTCAAAGGATGAGTCGGGGAAGTGAACTGCCTGAAAAGATAAAAAATCACCAGACCCCTAGGACCTTGTCCTGGTGGCTGAGTAGATCAGCCACGTGGTCTTGGACCAAAAATCGCTGATCCATATTTTCCCTCGTGTCAGGCCATGATCCAGGCACCATCCCTGCAGCTTGCCACTTTCTATGCCGCACAATATTTTGTGAAGGTCATTCTTGGAACATCGTATAAGGTTGCTTTCCAGTTTGAATAGTTCTTTCGTAACCAAATCCATGGCACAATTCACGGGAGAGGTGCAAGTGCGGATCACCATAAATGATTATAAACTCTGTCTAATGCACTGGTGTGCATTGCAGTTCTATCTCCGTCTATCTTTAACTCAAAATCTCACTCTCTGTCTCCCCAACTCTTTCCCTCCATCATTTTTCCATCTTTCTCTTCTTCTCTTTCTGCCTTTCTCTCATTCTCTTTCTGCCTCTCTTTCTCTCATTCTCTTCTCTCATGCTCTTTTCTCTTTCTCTTTCTCGTTCTCATTATCTATCTCTTTATACCTCTCCCTCTTTCTCTCCATCTTTCCAACTATACCTCTTCCTACCACACTTTAACTTTCCTGATCCCTTTACTATCCCCTAGTTTCTCCACATGTAGTAATTGAAACATGGTTTACAGTTTTACTTACGCTCAGGATATCTGTGCAAACCACAGAAAGTTTTTCTCTCAGGCGGTCGAAGCTTGTGTCATTGACGGTGGCATTGATAGCAAAGGGTCCGTGAAAGTGGAGTTTATCACCAAACTCCCCCTTGACACTACCATAGCTTGCGGCAAGCTTTGCAGCAAGTTCTCCATGATCCTCTCTCTTGATCTCGTCGCGGAAGGTCGCAATGATCATGACATTGAACGGCTGGTCTGTATTTGCAACAACAAGAGATGGGAAACGGACACAAAAAAAATTATAAAACAAAATTATTATATAGTTGTGGTGAGGAGATTTGAGGAAAGGTGATTTTAAGCAAGAAACTCTCCGCAATATCATAGCATGCAGCTAAAAAATTGGTCAAAAGAGTGTTTTAAAGCAATTGTGCTAATGCTACTTCAAATGAATTGGCGACCAATAGTACGTACTAGGGTGTTATGAGCGGCCTCGAAGATCTATCTCGTGACTGAGGATGGAACCATGCCTGACCTCCATGTGTTCGGTCTCGGGCTGAAAACCTTGGTAATCTACTGGAGAAGTGGCTGCACAGGCCAGTCAGAAGTTATCGCTGCTGTTTCTGCGACAAATGAAGAAGAAGCAGCTAATGCCGACCAGGCTGATTCTATTGTCAGATCTCTGGAGAGCAAAGTCTGGAGATGGCGAAGATAGATGCGAGTTCTCTGAATGTTTCCGAAAATCTTGGGCTCCATCGGGCATAGACAATTTTGGTATGGACATAGCTTATTTTGGACATTGCTCAATTGGAGAAGAGAGCAGAATATTTGAACCAAGGCTCTTCCATTCAAGGCTCTCAACACTAAAGGATCTGAACGTTTTCGATCCAGAAGCTGTTTGCTGTTTTCTCACTTGTCAGTTGTGGACTCATTGTTGCAGCAAAGATGAGGCGGGACTATTCCATGCCCTATAATAAAATAATTAATTTCTTTCTCATACACAAAGCTCACTTTCCCTGCCTGCATGTATGTGCCCGTGACAAGTCTGTGGACTTGTGCCACGTGATTCATGTAGCACGACAGTCCGGGTGTCCAGTAGACTGGTAGTGGTACATAACTTTATGCACAGACCATAGTGCTCTGTGTGGTAAAACTGTTAACCACTGCACACACACAGCATGAAAAGTCCAACTCTGGAAAGTTTGGAATAACTTGAAGATTTGTATAATGTCCACTATCCGTGTACGCGCCCATGTGCAATGTGTCGACACTCTTATCTCATTTTCTAGACCACCTCCGTGTGAACATACATGGGCAAAAGGAAAGACCCAGTACATGGGGCAGTGCATGTTCAGCTTGATGTGCAGTAACAACTCGTTAGTACAGTGTACAGTGTAGTGCACAGCACTTGTGAACGAGAGAGCTTGGAAGTTGAGGGCCCTACGCTATGCTTTTTTGCCTTGATGACCTAGACAAAAAAAAACATAGGGATGTTATAAATTCTTTAAAAAAAATCCTCTTTCTAATTAAGACATAACCAGGGATTTGAACCCGCACTATCGCGCGCCCTGCATGCATCCCCCGATACACTTCGCATACATACTAATTCTTCCAAGTTGTTTCACATTGTGATCTGACGGCAAAAACGCATAGGATGTTATAAAATTTTCAGTTCTCCTATTTTTTTTCAGGCATATCCTGGGATTCGAACCCGCACTATCGCCCTACATGCATTCCCCCATACACTTCGCATTCATACCCATTCTTCCAAGTTGTTTCACATTGTGATCTTGCATTTGAAAGCCCTATTTGACTATGCATTGTGGCCAGCCGTCTTTGATGGCACGGTACGGTAGGGGATAGGTACGGGACAGGTACGATCGAGGGTAATACGACACCGTCTCCCGTACCGTACCGTACCATCAAACACAGCTGGCCACATACAGCTGCCCGCAATATTCAAATAGGGCTTTCAAACGCAAGATAATAACGTGAAGCAACTTGGAAGAATGGGTATGAATGCGAAGTGTATGGGGGAATTCATGTAGGGCGATAGTGCGGGTTCGAATCCCAGGATATGCCTGAAAAAAAAATAGGAGAATTGAAAAATGTATAACATCCTATGCTTTTTTGCCGTCAGATACGGATAGCGCCAGGCGTGACACAAACAAACAAACAAACACACACACAAATACCAAATTAAAGCTGTGTGGACCCTGGCTAGCGCCAGACGTTACTGAAGTAACGTCTTCTGCATAGCTACGGGAATAAAACTGTTTGTTCATGTGAAAAACAGTCTGATTTCACGTATCCAAAATATCGCCGGGACCACATACCCTCCCGGGCCCATATTGACGCACGTGTGCTCGACCTTCACCAATGTTTCAACCCAAGGACTTATTACAGGCATTTACCATGGACAGAGAGATGAATATCTAGGGCTGAGTCTGGTAGCATTTTTCTTCAGGGATTTTTTGGGGTAGTCTTCCACGGGTAGCACGGATACCCTATTGGGTAATGTTTCCATGGTGACAGCACAATGCACTCCTTCCCTTACACACTGGATAGACATGCAGAGTACTACATGAATTTGTACATGTGCACTGTACATGATGCCATCAGCGACTTCGGCTTTTCAGGTACTATTCTGTACCCGTCTACACAAGATCCTCACGGGCTGCATGGGTATCCGACTTCCCATGCACACCACTATAAATAACACACACACATAAACACACACACACACACACACCTGCATGCACACACACACACACACACACACATACCTGCATGCACACACACAGTGCCCTCCCTCCACCAGTATACAGAATCAAACACATACCCCAATCATTCATTCATTCATGTAGTGTCGTGAGAATGAAGTTGAAGACACCACTGCAGCTGTACTTATGGTTGATAAATATGGTGGTAAAGACACACCTGGCAATATGGCGGTAAACACACGCCTGCCCACACACGCTCTCTAGGCTGCAAAGTTCTGGCACAGAGCTCTCCTTCTCACCACCACCACCATCAGTTCGCGCCTGGCGCCTGGTCGATGCATGGTTGGCGGTATCCGGCATAGCAGGCTGGTACATCAAGTAGCGCATGGCACATAGATGATGACACAGCAACTACATAGCTCGATTGCGACGTACGTTTCGTCCCCGCTGGACTCATCAGGCAATCTTCTTCTTGGATGTCTTCATACGGAGCTTGACTGATGAGTCCAGCGGGGACGAAACGTACGTCGCAATCGAGCTATGGCGTTGCTGTGTCATCATCTATGTGCCATGCGCTACTTGATGTACCAGTCTGCTATGCCGGATACCGCCAGCCATGCATCGACCAGGCGCCAGGCGCGAACTGATGGTGGTGGTGGTGGTGAGAAGGAGAGCTCTGTGCCAGAACTTTTCAGCCTAGAGAGCGTGTGTGGGAAGGCGTGTGTTTACCGCCATATTGCCAGGTGTGTCTTTACCACCTTATCAAGAGTCCATAACCCAAGAGTATGCAACTGTGATCTCTTTTCTATGGGCCAGATGCGCGGCGCGCTGCCTTCATTACATCATTCAGCTGCAGTCCGCGCACTGCGGAGAATCAATCACCGCACTTTCCCTCAGTTTGAAATGAACTTTTGTACGGAACTGGAGTTCACGCGCCAGAATTCTGAGATTGTGTAGGTACTGGAACGAATCGAGCAAAAACGGATGGGCTCGTGCGAGAAATTGAGAGTTTGAATGCATGCTTTCAGAGCGTGATGAAGGCAAGTTACGTAATGAAGGCAGCGCGCCACGCATGCACCCATAATCACAGTTGCCTACTCTTGGGTTATGGACTCTTGACCATATTTATCAACATGTAGTGTCGTGGACATGGAAATCCGGTCACACATCTAGCGGCCCCAGGGCACTCGCCATGCGGCCGTGGACAAGCGATACACACATGTTGTTATGCTCTGCAGAGCGCTGGTCGTATCGGATCAACATGTGCACTGCTCGCAGCGTTCTGTTCTCGCTGAGGGCGCCAGCCCTGGTCAATCAACTGAATTTCCATGTCTGCTACAGTACATGCCGACATACGGATCAACAGACACAAACAAAATTTCACAAAAATGCATTTGATAAAATTTCGCACTGACCTGATGTTACCGATGGTGGCTTCCGGCTCAAAAACCGACCAACTGTGGTGGTTATGCTTGTTGTAATCCGTTTCTCGTCCCATTTACTTTTGACAACAGCAAGACCGAGGCTTGGTACTGATGTGGATAGGCAGAAAATGTCGTGTGTCGCTGAAAACGCGTCCTGCCCAGCGAGATCTTTGATACGCAAATGCTGACCACGCTCATCAGTGAAGTTGGACATCTGGATGCCTCGGGTTCGTTTCGAGTCGTTTGATGTGCCGTTGTTTCCTCCTTCTCTCAATGTCTTGATCAGTGTGGATTTCCCAACAAGTTGTTCACCGCTAACTAGAACAACTAGAGTGTTAGCGTCCACTTGGCCTTCAGAATAAAATTCTTCCAGCTGAAGGTAAGTCTGCGCATATGTAATACACACAAGAACAACAATTAAAGAATTGGGCGTTCGTCAACTTACAATCGCTCTATGCAGTTGCTATTCTCACTTGGCTCATGCGCTGGATGAAAATTCTTTATCAGTGACATCGACAAAATTATGACGTTTCGGGCCACTCATTGTGCATAACGTTAGCAACTGAATAGAGTGGTTGTCAGTTGATAAACTCCCTTTTCTTTATAATGCAGTTGTGTGAAGTCCACCATTATCTTAGTAAAGAAAAACAATTACTGGATATAAGTGTTGAAAGCAATTTTTCCTAAGGGTTGGTTGACATAAGCAAAATCGGCGCCAAAAGACATCGCAAGACATCGGCGGTGAGCGAGATCCCGATCCGTTGCGCATACGGTTCGAGTACCAAATCTACTACAAAGTATTACAGAATGTGTCCAAATGCTATGACAGGTTTGCCAAGTGAAGCTTGAATTCTTTGTGTCTTCAGTAGTTCAAGGTCTTTCGGTGATGGCCACTGGTTGCTACCTTTTACTGGAGATCAGGAAACTACTTCTACACATTTTCTTGCAGTCTAGTGAGCTATGGTTTCGAAATTATGCATGCAAACGTTGGTAAAGTCACAAGAACTTGCCAATGTATCCATCGTATTAATTGTTTCAGTTGTATTTGTCTCATACGCTGCACAACAGTCAAGCAGATCATCCGAAAAGGACGGGTTGGTATGCTGACTTATTTGCCACCTTGAAGCGAGTACAAGAATGGCGAACGAACCTCGTCTCTAGCTTCAATTTAGGAAAATTTAGGTCGAGCCTTCGTTTGAAATTTTGACAAAGTCTGGCTTCCGGTAGGCGATCACCGGCCCTAACGGTTCACAAACCACTTTTGGTCAAAATCGTATGGGATCAGTGCCGGGGCAGATCGCAAGAGTTGGGCACCGTCCAACTTTGCCGGCGGTCCCTTGCGATATTTTACTGTATGATTTTATTACGACTGCACTGGTTCACATAATCGTAATGCGCTGGGAGAGGTTACAAGAGGCCCATTCCCGTTAACTCCCGGCACGTACCGGCGATATGTGAACCAACCCTAAACAGCTGGGAAGATAATAATGCTCCATAGTTGGTAGTGTTCATCTGTTTGACAGTAAAGTATGCGAGGAGAACATTTCTTAAGTGGTGATGTAATTTTTTATAAGTCGGACAATATAAATGAGAAGATCAGCTTGTATATATGCTATATGGGTCTTTCGGCAAACTGCATGCACAGCAAACATGTACTTGCCTGAATTTAAACACAGGCAGGAAATGAATCTATGAAGATTCTTGCTACTTTCAACACTAGGGTGGTGTACATCGAAAAAATGAGTTGGTCATAGCTTTGTGAAACGTATTGAAAGTACAGATGACTTTTTACCTAATGCACGGATTAAAAACGAAACTCCATCCTTTTTAACAATTACTATGTACATAACATCAGCGAATGACCTCAATTGTCACGATACTCTCCATAGCAACCTGATACTTGGAATACTCAGTATGACAGATAATAATGACTTTACCTTAAGAGCTCGGATGGTGAGCCCATGTAATCATGGAAAAATAAAGAAAGGACAACATTTTACAAGTTATGACCAACTGTCCAACAGTGAAACCAGATAATTTAACGTCATCAAGTGCGACAACAGGGCACAAAGCTGAAAAGGAGTACTGACACATTCAATGACTTGGCACAAATACATCTGAGATGTGCGAACCAACAACCTTCCAACTTGGTAGGCTCAGGTAAGGAAATATCGAAAGAGGGGAAGGAAAGCGCAACAAAGAAGAGCACGGACTCTGTCCCACGGCAACAAAGAACTCTGAACGTTACTGGATGAAGACGAGAATAGTAAGACAATTGTACTTACCAGTCTTACTACAACACTACGTTGCAAAGTAACTGACCACCCAAATTGAGACGTTCAAGTTTATAAGGTGAACATGGAAGGGGAAGCTGAGTGTTCCTTGTCAGTTTTTCAGGTAAGTACTCCTTGTCAGTTTTGTGCCCTTTTGTCACATTTGCTGACTGTATAATATCTGGTTAAATCGGTGGACAGCTAGTCATAACTCGTAACATGTTGTGCTTTCTCTACTTACCCGAAGAAAACGACAGTTGTGAGTTTCAGCAGTCGGCTTGTCAGCGGCATGTCGCACAATTTCCATGACCTACATTGCCAACAGAACACACAGGAAAAACCATGACAGTTGTACAAGTAGGAATAGGGAAGAGGACAGGTGGTTGGTAGAGAATCGTCCGTAGAGAAACAGGGTTGCCGTGAAGTGAGGTGCCATTAAAGACGGTCACGGACAAGGTAGCATGAGTAGAAAGAATAATTTTCTTTGTGGTTATTTACTTAATATATATATATCTATTATTGCACGATTAACGAGGTCAATAGATGAAGCACAGAACGAGTAAAAACGAGATCCCCCGAGGTCTTTTACGACATCTATATTTCATATATTGACCGATTATGAGGGCAATAATAGATTTATAAAAAAAGGTTTCAGAGCAGACTCGCTCTCTTCCCATTCACTCTGCAAACTCGAACTCGGGTTCACGTCCATTGTGGCTAGAATTGTTCCCTCTGGCGCTTTCATATCTGGGCATATGGTACGAATATGATCGAGAGCATCGCTGGTATTGGTTAAATGCGCGGGGACGAATTCCAGTAATTCATGTAGTACGCGCTCTAGAACAATCGCGATTCCTGTAACTGGACTATCACAAGCGGAAACAACTGGGCGGAGGGGCAAATTTTGCTTATGGTCTTTGGGCAGGCCGTAAAACTCTGGAAAACTCGTTTCACTCGGTATTATCGACTTCAGTACATCACCGTCCATGTTCTTACAATGAATCTTCAGGATACTTTTCACTTTCTCCTCATACGCGTTGATGGTGAGGTCAATATTATTGTACATGGTGCTATCGGATAGAAGATTCCCTGCTTTCTCCAAGTAAACTTTCTGCCCCATAGCCACAAGCTTCTTACTCTTATCTGATGGCTTGATGACTGTATTTGGGTCGTGGCGAATTCTTATCAGCTCCTCGCGCTCTTCTTGAGTTATATTGGGCTTGGACGGCGTATGGTTGTCAAATGCTGCTACAATCTCATCCTTGAAATTGGCGAGCTTTCTCTCTTCGTCTGGGCTCATCTTCGGAGGTTGCATGAACCCAGCGCGACAAACACCTCGTGAAGCTCCAGGTAGCAGCGTGAGTCAGAGTCGCTCATGGAGTTGTGCTAAACAGACGTTGAGAGCCAGTATAGCTATTTGCAACGCTGTCACCTCCAACAACTGGAAACTGGAAGCTGGAAACTGGAAGCTGGGAACAACTGGAAACAAGCAACAACTGGAAACAAGCTGGAAACTGGAAGCTGGAAATAAAGTGTCTCTGTAAGTTTGTATCCCTGGTGATGGGTTTTCCTGGAGAGCAGTATATGAGTGGTGCTTTTCAGGCACAATCTTCCTCAGCCTACTCAAGCTCAACTGATGAGGGGTGAATTCCCCGAAACACTGTGTAGTGAGCAGGGAGTGATGCTTTCTTGCAGGTTTGCGGAGTGGAAGGTGCGACGTGCTTCTCGTGTGCTCCGGATGGCAGTCGTGAGTCAGTCAAGTGTCAAGTTCGGCAAAAGCGTGTGTTCCTAGTTGGAACAATCAACTTCATGACTATTATCGCCGAAATCGCAACTTCTAAGTTCGTATAATTATCATTGATAAAATATGGTGGTAAAGACACACCTGGCCATATGGTGGTAAAGACACACCGGGCAATATGGTGGTAAAGACACACCTGGCAATATGGTGGTAAAGAAACACCTGGCAATATGGCGGTAAACACACGCCTGCCCACACACGCTCTCTAGGCTGCAAAGTTCTGGCACAGAACTCTCCTTCTCACCACCACCACCATCAGTTCGCGCCTGGCGCCTGGTCGATGCATGGTTGGCGGTATCCGGAATAGCAGGCTGGTACATCAAGTAGCGCATGGCACATATATGATGACACAGCAACGACATAGCTCGAATGCGACGTACGTTTCGTCCCCGCTGGACTCATCAGGCAATCTTCTTCTTGGATGTCTTCCTACGGAGCTTGACTCCGGAGAATGAAGTTGAAGACACCACTGCAGCTGTACTTATGGTTGATAAATATGGTGGTAAAGACACACCTGGCAATATGGCGGTAAACACACGCCTGCCCACACACGCTCTGTAGGCTGCAAAGTTCTGGCACAGAGCTCTCCTTCTCACCACCACCACCATCAGTTCGCGCCTGGCGCCTGGTCGATGCATGGCTAGCGGTATCCGACATAGCAGGCTGGTACATCAAGTAGCGCATGGCACATAGATGATGACACAGCAACGACCTTGATTGCGACGTACGTTTCGTCCCCGCTGGACTTATCAGTGTTTACCGCCATATTGCCAGGTGTGTCTTTACCACCATATTTATCAACCATAAGTACAGCTGCAGTGGTGTCTTTAACTTCATTATAATTATCATAATATATACAATGTAGCTCATTGGTATTGAAGATATGTCATTTTTGAATATGTCTATAATTATGAATATTGCAGCCTGAGTGATGATGATAGTGCTATTTCCTGAGTTTGATTGTTTCAGGATCTGTCAGTATATCACAATGCACAGACCTTCATGCATAGACCTCGCCATGCTGGTCTGTCATGGGCAATGGCTCGCAGGCTCTGCTATCACGACATAGCATACCTAAATTTTGCTTGCTTTGTCATAGGAAGAAAGGAATTCCATTGTAATAGCACATAGTATGCACGAGCACCCGGGTCTACGGTTAGACTTTTTCGAGCTCCGTAGTTTTTCGTGCGATTTATCAGCCCAGCCGGCACCTTCTTTCATTCTCATGATGGCCTGTGGCCAATAAGAGAATAATAGTTACAGGCACTGGGATCAGATACAGAGAGATCAAAGTTTAGCTGCTTGCTGAGGCAGCAGGGATGGCAATAGGGAGTTTATCACATAGGCTGGGCACAATGGGGCTCTAGATGTACTGAGCAATGTGAGCAAGTACATACGAAAGAGATGACAAGTGGTAGGATGTTTGCTTTGAAATCTCGTCTGGGGTTGATTTGCCGGAGGCTGAGTGGAATGCTATTAAAGAGATCAAGAGAATCATAGATGGGGGAGTCCCTTAGCCGGTTTGTACGTGCTGTGGGTAGCTCAAAGGTTCGGGGGAACCTGAGCGTGCGAATGGATTGCATTCGGGTTAGGTGAATTGCAAGAATGTGTGGTGGTGCATATCTACTTGGTCCGGCTCATCGCAATTGTCGTTTATCCCTCACGCACTTTTTGACAGGTGAAGTACAATCACGATATCTTACTTACCTTTGTTTGGGAGGTTGGGATGGCAAGATCAAAGGAGGCACCAAAGAAAATGATCGCGACTAGGGCTTTGAATCGCGATGTGTTCGACCTTTTACAGAAGAGGGAATCTGGCCATTCACTGTCTGTGTTGCCAATAGCCAAGCGCTGCGACCTGAAGACCGGAACTGTAGCAGGGGCAACTGACATCCTGACCTGGAGAGCGTGACAGGCACGCGTGCATGGCAGAAGGGTATTAGCATCATGCTGAAAAAGAAAGGTGTTTTTGATGCGGTGGCGGATGCACTGACGTGTTGTTGATTCCTTCGCTTGGTGGACCTAGCAGCAGCATTACAAGAGTCGTGGTCAGCGTATCCAGCTGAGCGTATGACAGCTATCTGGAGAGGCCGGTATGCCTCATTCGATGGTTTTGTTGAAACACACTCTGGTGACACACAGGTCCCACTACACACAGTTCCTTCAAGCACCGAAGTGACAGCCACAACTGTTCCTTTCCCATTGCTGCCATACGACACTCGACATACGACACTGGACAGCAGGCTGAGAATGCAAGAGGTAATCTACCAGTCTACGACAGCAGCTAGACATCAGCAATTAATGTCAGCTCATGTAATGGCGCGGCAGCTCGAGTGATGCAGAGTTGAATGAACTCCGGACCTTTATTACTAGTGTGAGTGCATGAACGCGCTCCTTCGCTGATTTAGTTCGTCCATTTTGCTTACCTTGCTTCCTTTCTTCGACTCGCTTCACCTGATTCCACTGCTGAACCTTCTTTCTGGTGGCAGAGAGTATTCACGTATCATGCTTCCTCACTATGCCTATTGTAAATTTCACTGAGCAGTAAAAAAACTCCTGTTCTTAGTAGCGATAGATAAGCGACAATTGCGATGAGCCGGACCAAGTATGATGCAGGCTATGCGCAAGAAGGATATGGAGGAGGGTACGGCGGCTGCTGAGTGATGGCCATTTGAGTCGGTCCGGCAGCAGGGACTGGGTTCTGTGTACAAAGAAGGGAGATGCAAACAGAGGCGAGCGGCGCGCCGTTGGAAGCGCTCAAGCTGGTCGTTGAGGGTTGCGTGGAGGGGTGAGAGGACAGTGCAAGCAAAAACAAGAATTGGGCGGACGTAAGTTCGATAGAAGGAGGAGAGAGCAGAAGTGTTTAAGCGAGCATGTCTGAGAATACCAAAGTATGTGTGCAAGTGGATCTCTCCGATTTCGCTCAAAATTTGCAGGTAGGTTCCCTTTGGGGTGTGGATCGATTATGCAAAGCCCTTGAAAAAGTTTCTGAAGGGAACCTTGAAATTTGCATACCCCTCAAAAATGGTCGAAATATCACATTATTTATGGGTCTAGAAACAAGTCACGCCACAGCGTATACGAACAAGCTATGAACAAAACTCCATCAAGCCAACATTGCCTCACCTTAGAAGAGTTCCTGGAGCAGTACCGCTTAGCCACGCCAGGATCCCAGAAGACGAGGTCCATCACCCCCTGACGCCACAAATGATACTCTTGAAAATAGCCAATTTACAAGCGCTGGCAAAACAGCCAGCTACGTCCTCAATTGGCCAGAACTATACACCGGCAGATAGTAGAACACCTCTTCTAGCGCTGAGGACATGTCCCCCATCTTCCTTTTGGGGTTTTCTTGAAATAAACCTTTTTGAATTTTTCCACTCGACCATGCTGAAATACGGCCAAAGTCATACCTGCGCAGGAAAGCACGCTACTCCGCGACGTCTCCTCAGCAATTTCTACTCCAACACTTCTCCCAAGGCCGCAGAACAAAGTGTAGTGTTGACTCT